AATGACAACCTAATTGTTTCTAAAAGGTAATATTCTAAATCATATTGCAAAATGTTAATTTTAAAAATAAAATTCGCAGTTGAAAATAATACTTCGTAGTTCATTCATATTGATTTCGAGCCTAGTAAAATATTAAAATAGGTTGTTTGTAGTATGTACAGGTATGTGGGACGGTTGCTAGGTAGTAGCTGGGTAGTTTGTAGTATGTACAGGTATGTGGGACGGTTGCTAGGTAGTAGCTGGGTAGTTTGTAGCATGTAGGTACAGGTATGTGGAACGGTTGCTGGTTAGTAGTTGAGTAGTTTGCAGTAAGTACAGGTATGTGGCGCGGTTGCTAGGTAGTAGCTGGGTAGTTTGTAGTATGTACAGGTATGTGGGACGGTTGCTAGGTAGTAGCTGGGTAGTTTGTAGTATGTACAGGTATGTGGGACGGTTGCTAGGTAGTAGCTGGGTGGTTTGTAGTATGTAGGTACAGGTATGTGGGACGGTTGCTAGGTAGTAGCTGGGTAGTTTGTAGTATGTACAGGTATGTGGAACGGTTGCTAGGTAGTAGTTGAGTAGTTTGAAGTAAGTACAGGTATGTGGGACGGTTGCTAGGTAGTAGCTGGGTAGTTTGTAGCATGTACAGGTATGTGGAACGGTTGCTAGGTAGTAGTTGAGTAGTTTGCAGTAAGTACAGGTATGTGGCGCGGTCGCTAGGTAGTAGCTGGGTAGTTTGTAGTATGTACAGTTATGTGGTGTGGTTGCTAGGAAGTAGCTGGGTAGTTTGTAGCATGTACAGGTATGTGGAACGGATGCTGGTTAGTAGTTGAGAAGTTTGCAGTAAGTACAGTTATGTGGTGTGGTTGCTAGGTAGTAGCTGGGTAGTTTGTAGTATGTACAGTTAGGTGGTGTGGTTGCTAGGTAGTAGCTGGGTAGTTTGTAGCTTGTATAGGTATGTGGAACGGTTGCTGGTTAGCAGTTGAGTAGTTTGCAGCAAGTACAGGTATGTGGCGCGGTCGCTAGGTAGTAGCTGGGTAGTTTGTAGTATGTACAGTTATGTGGTGTGGTTGCTAGGAAGTAGCTGGGTAGTTTGTAGCATGTACAGGTATGTGGAACGGATGCTGGTTAGTAGTTGAGAAGTTTGCAGTAAGTACAGTTATGTGGTGTGGTTGCGAGGTAGTAGTTGGGTAGTTTGCAGTAAGTACAGTTATGTGGTGTGGTTGCTAGGAAGTAGCTGGGTAGTTTGTAGCATGTACAGGTATGTGGAACGGATGCTGGTTAGTAGTTGAGAAGTTTGCAGTAAGTACAGTTATGTGGTGTGGTTGCTAGGTAGTAGCTGGGTAGTTTGTAGCTTGTATAGGTATGTGGAACGGTTGCTGGTTAGCAGTTGAGTAGTTTGCAGTAAGTACAGGTATGTGGCGCGGTCGCTAGGTAGTAGCTGGGTAGTTTGTAGTATGTACAGTTATGTGGTGTGGTTGCTAGGTAGTAGCTGGGTAGTTTGTAGCTTGTATAGGTATGTGGAACGGTTGCTGGTTAGCAGTTGAGTAGTTTGCAGTAAGTACAGGTATGTGGCGCGGTCGCTAGGTAGTAGCTGGGTAGTTTGTAGTATGTACAGTTATGTGGTGTGGTTGCTAGGTAGTAGCTGGGTAGTTTGTAGCTTGTATAGGTATGTGGAACGGTTGCTGGTTAGCAGTTGAGTAGTTTGCAGTAAGTACAGGTATGTGGCGCGGTCGCTAGGTAGTAGCTGGGTAGTTTGCAGTAAGTACAGGTATGTGGTGTGGTTGCTAGGTAGTAGCTAAGTAGTTTGCAGTAAGTACAGGTATGTGGCGCGGTCGCTAGGTAGTAGCTGGGTAGTTTGTAGCATGTACAGGTATGTGGAACGGTTGCTGGGTAGTAGTTGAGTAGTTTGTAGCATGTACTGGTATGTGGAACGGTTGCTGGGTAGTAGCTGGGTAGTTTCCTCGGTCTGACGTGATGCAATCTACCCTGGAAGGCGGTGTTCGTGACCGTCTGTCGTGCCTCTGCCTCCATGTCCGTCAATCCGCATAACTATTAAAAAAGCCCTTTACTCATTCTTCAATGGCAGAGCATCTAAAGGGACTTGGATATTTTGTAATAACCGAATCATTTACAATCTTCAAGTACGTCATGGCATTTTCTAACAAAAATTACCTTTGTGTAAATTTTCATGGATTTTCATGCAAGAATTTACCGTTGAAAAATATGTATCTGATAATGTATATTGGCGATATATTTGTGCTTTTGTTTTATATAATTTCCTCAACAGAAAAATCCTTCTGGTTCTGAACTCCTTGTTAATGCGTTATGTTGTCTATTAGATGATCGAAGGACAACCCGATAAAATACTTCAAGGTAGTTAGGCCTAAACCAGAAGGCGTAACTATGAGTTGTCGCATAGCTATCTCTAAGTATGAATATATAAGATTACTACTTTGTAGGAAAAGAAAAATCACTGTAATACATTAAATAACATATAGAGCGAATAGTCCCGAAGCCCATTAAGATTTATGCGATAAACAATATTAATACAAAAGGTAGAGTACGGTATTTTAATTCATAATACTTATGACCATTTAACTATAAGGTTTAATACCTCCCTTTTAATAGTTTAAATGTGTTCAGCTATTAACCCTTATTGGAGTTATGTTATAAATACTCCAGGGAGAGCTATCAGAGGGTAGAATTAACTTTATGATTTACACTCTGAGTTCCCACCCATCAATTATAAAAGTGATGTGTCATTTTCAATTTATGTTCAATAATTACACAATACTACCTCATTGTGTCACGTGTGTTCAGTATTTCTGTAGTATTGGTTTTCGAAAGTACCTTAGATAACCAAGGTAAACTCTATGCTGGAATAATAAACGTAAGAAATAGAGATTTTATTAAAGATTCGGGTGTACCATTTTCATCACCGCATGTAAAATTGTAATTTTGGAATGATCGACCGACTCAAGCAGTAAAATAACAATTATTTATTGATGACTACTTAGGGAATCAGGTATTGAAAATTAACATTTATAAAGAAAAACATTTAATGGGCGTAAAACAATGTATTGTTCCTTAAAGAATAAAAAAATAATATATAATCAACATTTTAAGATTTCCAACACAAAAATTGTGAAGCTTTAAGTTTAAAGTAAATAAAACTATCTCATCTGCATCTTATTAAAAATTGTGATGAAGGGATATACACATCTTTTGATAACAAAAATTTTAAAATTTAACTAAGCTTTAAGATAGAACATAAAAAGGAATACAGTTTAATATTTTTTAGTAAGACTGAGTGATGTGAAAAGCTTGTAGTTTTTCTGCATAACAAGTCTGTGGGTTTAACTGGTTTTCATAATAATGCAGGACCCAATTAACCAATTTTCCTTTTAAACAGAAAAATGAATTAGATAGGGGTTCCAGTCAATAACAGGAAAGAAATAACTTCAGTAAATCAAGGTTGAGTAAATACATTTTTGTTGATTGAGAAAGCAAAAAAAAAAAAAAAAAAAAAAAAAACAGTAAACATTTGATTTTAAGTAATATCTTCTAACTGCAAACAATAACTAGAATTTAAGCACTAAATATTGAATGAAAATATAGCATATAACATGAAACTATAACTGATTGAGAATTTCTAATATAAAAAGAAAATGTTTGGCCGGGAATATATTATTCTAGTTAAACAGAAAAATGTATGATATGCAGAATTACATTTAATTAGTTGTTTGGACATTTTTTTACTTAATTATACAGTGGACTACATGATACCTCATTGGCTCATACAAGCGATCTAAAACCGAGAGTAAAATGGTCGATTAAATTGACACAGTGACCCTTCATGTTATTTAAATTTACATCTTATTCCTATCTTCTCTTAATACCATTATGGTTTACCAACGCGATTTAACACTTATCTTTAAGGCCTAGAAAACAAGAGAGATCTTAGGGGGTAAGCCATTTCTTTTTATTGAAGAACCTCTTCTACAAAAGGTCTCATCATTATTGGTATCTGGGAGAACAGGCTTGATGCCAGGTTTCAATTAAGATCCAACTGGGGTTTAGGGCAATAGTTCTACACAAGGATAGGATTATCTAAATCCTACACATTGCTACTTTATTCATTGCTAGAGCCTTTAATCTTTTCGCAACGCGCTTAATTTTAAGACTAAACGAAGTCGCAAAGAAATGTAGATGGTTGTTCGATAGACTGTCAACAGAAACCAAGGCAGTGACGTCACTAGTCCACACCCCAACACCACCATAAAAATTGTTAATCAGTACAGCTGCTTATTTTTTGTGCAGGTATGGCTCACCATTTGCTTTTTTTACATTTATGACAATGTACTGAGGCCCAAAAAGTGAATAGGTAAATTTAACCTGAGTGGTTTTCAGTGTGATGGACAATATTTTTCGTTATGGTGCGCTCTTCTATAGGATTGTTCACAAAACAAGCATTTGGTGAATGGTTCCCTTCATAAATCCAAATTGAAGTCATCTTTACTATCTTTTCTGGATTTTGCCGACGTAAACAGACAAAGATTTGTTATTGTTTTGTCAATTATTTCAATTTCAAAAACCAAAACTGTACAACAAACGTAAATATTAACTTTACATTGGAGGCATAACCTAAAAAAATTCTTTGAGTTCTGTAAGTTTTCTGCATGTAACAAAGAAATATTAAATGTACGTTTTACTTAAGAAATTAATCAGTCTTTTTACTGTAGTGAAAAGTAACGTTGAAAACACGGGTGAAAGTAGGTCTATACATATTCTCGACCATTTAAAGTGCCCGGTAAATCCCGCACTTCAAAAATAGTCCCAAATATGTAATGACTCACTTCCTACTCTTGTTATGAAATATACTATCTCGTCATACTTCAGCAAAAACAGCTGTTTTCGCAGCACGACGAAAGCTGCCTTTCAAAGCTGTTACACAATATTTTTCCAACGAAAGCAGTGATTTGGAATGTTGAGGGATGTAACATGTGATTGTTACTCACGTTGATGACGACTCTTTCGCAGAAGTCATGGTCGTGTGGTATGGGCTCGAAGTGTACAACACCGGAGTATTGTTGTGTGTGGGCGGTCGGTCCTTCCTCGTCCTGGCTGCTGAGTTTCGGCAGCGACCTGCAAAATAACAGAGATTACAGACTAAACACTGTAGGGTACTTGCACACGTGACGTCTACGTCATTGGAGGCTGTGTAACCACTGTAGAAACGCATTTTACTAGATTACATCTTAGACATTAGAAAATATAATGTTTCGATATTTCCGTCAGTGATGTTTGGTAAGACGATAATCAGTTTATGCACAGTCTATGAGCAGGTATCCATGGGGGTATAGGCAATTGTCTATGTACACTCGTCTAATTGCACTATATTCTATGGGCATTAGTCTAAGCGCGCTATAGTCTTGTTACTAGTCTAAATGCACTATGGTCTATGGACAATTGTGTAAGCTCACTAGCCTAAGAGCACTAGTCTAAGGCAGTATAGCACTAATAGTCTACGGCCACTAGTCAAAGTGCACTATATTCTATGGACAGCAGTCTAAGTGCACTATAGTCTATAGACACAGTCTAACTAAGTGCACTATAGTCGACGAGCATTAGTTTAAGTGCACAATCGTCTATGGACACTAGTCTAAGTACACTACAGTCGACGAGCATTAGTTTAATTGCACAATCGTCTATGGACACTAGTCTAAGTGCACTATAGTCGACGAGCATTAGTTTAAGTGCACAATCGTCTATGGACACTAGTCTAAGTGCACTATATAGTCGACGAGCATTAGTTTAAGTACACAATCGTCTATGGACACTAGCCTAAGCTCACTATAGTCGACGAGCACTAGTTTAAGTGCACTATAGTCTATGGGCACTAACATGGAAATCATTCTATGAATACTACCCGATGTAAACTAAAATACAATACGGGATTACTGCCATACTTTAAAACATGTTTAACAGAAAAACCTTAGGTAACCAGGAAATCTTTTTAGTTTTTTGAAACCCAAAATCATCTACACCTAGACATATTATGGGTGTAAAAAATCCTTTACCTCCGACTTATGTGCACCGGAAGGGCATATATTATGTGTTACTTCCTACAGCAATCTAGAATAAGCTGGTTCTCTTCTGCTTCGGCTATTTAAAATTAATTGAGCGAACAATCTATGATCCATCGATTTATGTCTTTTAAACAAATACCACAAGTAGGATTAAAAGTTAAATAGTTGCCAAGAGTTACTGCTTTTAATTAAATATAGTATTTCCACTCAAATAAAATCTGACGAGACAGATTTTTCCAAAGATCAAAGAGTAAACCAGGTGAGCCCACAATCCACCGACCAGATTCCAATACGGTTCCCACCCCGATCTTTCCTAAGCTGGTAATAAGGTCAGAACGAAGTGTTAGACGGCTCTCGCAGCTAATGAAACACTGTAGTCCGCCTCTCGACGTCCCTAAATTAACTTGGGACTCCTCAAGCCGCCATTGTCCCTGAGCCTAATGAGAACAGCGCGATAGTTCGGAAAACCCACTACTCGGACCTTCCAAGCTACGAATGTTGAAATGGAGAAAAACTCATATTGCAGTGCTGCGAAAAGAGTGCAAAGTATCAATAGAGCTGTGGATTAATATCACGACGTTAAACTTTATTTTGTGGTTTCGTTTCCGTGGAAACAGTTAACATTATCATTTTTTGTACTTATGTGATACAAAACACCTACATTCGGTTGGTTGTTTTTAAAGTAGAAAATTTGCATGGAAGCCAACCGAAATTAGTATTAAATAAAGTGACCCTTGATCTAAAAATAGAAAAATACACTATTTCAAAGCTGTATGGTAAAGTTAGTGACCCGATCATAAAAACCACTACGTTTCGGTACCGTTTACCGGTTTGACAATGTCACCCTGTTACGCTTTAAAATCCCCTGGTCACAGACAAACTACGGTTGAAGCTTATTTATTAATTTTATCTCTATCCAGTCCTTATCCAAAAGTATACCAGATTCACACAGAATAATAATTGTTGTGGTAGTTTTCCCCAAAGAGGTAATTAATCGGATACTTCCTAACAGAAACGAAACTAGAATAAACATACAAAATAATAAATAGTCAAGAAATAATTTAGTCGTGTTTCAGAATTAGTTGTAGAACATCTTCATACAGAAGTAGTGAGTTTGTGATGGAGGTTGTTTGTTTTGTGCCAACAACCACACAAACAGGGCCGTTCCTAACATGTGTTGTGCCTCCGACTTTAATACAACTCTGCAGCAAACAAACATTCCGATCGACAACAGCTTTCCTCTGTAGATAAACTTGAAATTAACCATTAACACTTGTAGAAGAAAAGTATTTAGTTTGAAATGACAAGATTATTTTGTCATTACAGAAAAAGTTCCGTTTATAAAATTATATAATTTCAGCTATACGCAGTGGACGTTACATTTAAAATATTTACCTACGACAGTTTTTTTAAATTAGCCGTTTCAATTCAGGTCTTATAATTGAAAATGTTCTCTAAACAGCATAGTTTTACTCTTAACAACACGGGTAACGGACTAATGAGGTTCGAGAAGAAGTAAAATTGTAATGGTTCGAACATCTGCTAATCAGCTGTTAAGGTCAATTTAATTGTTGAGTGGTGCAGTTAGTCTTTGGTACAATGTTTCGTTGCATCACTGTCAGTGGCAATGAGAGGTTGTAAACGAAAACATATCCTCTTTTAGAAGTTATGAGTAGTGATTTTTAGTAATTAAAACACTGTCGTAGTTAAAGTAATGTACGCAACTTGCGTAAATAGTGCAGTAACTATCTTTACGCACTCGTTGCGTGAACGACTATTACAATCGTTTACCATTTTTCTGTTAACATTATGTGTAGTATAAATAGGCTTAGTGTAAACGTGTAACAAAGTTAGTTTAGGCTTCTGTAGACCTTAAAAAATGTAGTACAACATTTCTTACTATGACGACTACGGCAAGTACTAGGTACTACCTAAATGAACATTTTGCTAACATGAGAAATTACATTCAAGCATGTTATTTTAAAAAAAGTAATAATAATAACGTATTTATTTTATTAAACTTCAAAGCTTTTACATCCTTTTATGTCGCTTAAGCTAGAGGAGTACAATGACGTATCATACTGAAGTTTGGACACAGTTTGATGCATAGGTTCAAAGTTAAAACTTAGTAATTAACTAAAAAGTAAAATTTCGTTAGTGTAAAGATAGGCAGCGTTTATTCGTGGGTATATTTGACTGCTACTCTATGGATTGCCGCAGATAAGGTCAGTAGGCCTAAATAAAGCAATGCTGACGTCAGAGATTTCTGCCACCTGGCCTATATTTTGTCTCTATGAAACGTTTCAATTTAAAAATTGTAATTTTTTTAACCTCTGTATGTATTTAAGTCGAACAAATTAAGTGGTATTTGAATTATGACCAGATTAAAACACCATATCTGGATTAAATTGTAAATTTATTACTTTAAAAAGTATTATGTGGCACGACCAATTTAATACAGAATTGTAGAAACGTTTAGATACAAATTCACAATATTTTGGGAGAAGAAATTAAAATAACTTTAAATTAGTATTTTTTGCAACAGAAGAGTCGAAAAGAGGGTATAAGTAGAGGTCTTTTACAAAATCAAAACTAATTTTCATCAGACAATAATATAAAAACTAAGGTACAGGGTGGGGCAATGATATCGCCACAATTTGTTTTAGCTGTCACATGTTAATTGTTGCAACAACGAATGATCAGCTGTGCTTAAAACATCAATTAAACTATGCCATTTTAGTAAATATTATGCCCGAGGCTATCAACACTGAGATTTTGATGTGCAAACCTATTTTTAAAATAGTGGTTCTTGTGCAAAAACCCAGAGATTGTTTGGACCACATTCCATCCTTGGTCAACATGGCACTGTTCCAGATTGGAAAACAATGGTGAACTGGGTAAAATTATTTAGGATAAACGCTTAAACCTTAAAAATAATCGGTGGGTGCCGCAAAACTCTTTGTACACCAGCAAATGTTGAAAGAGTGCGAGTCGCAGTAACTCAAAGTCCAAAGAGATTTGCCAGGAAGCTGTTGTTGTTGAAAGCTTTACGTTGGCTCCTTTTTTTTGGAAGGGGGGGGGTTTCTAATAAGCTACTTGAAGTTCGAGGTTTTTCAAAGTCACCCCACAGATTTGCTTGAACCGAAGCTAAGAATTGTCCAAAAACTAAAGTGATTCCTGAAGAAATGCTGGAGAAGTATTTGATGGAGTTTTCAAGTGCCTAATGTCAAGTAGGACAAGGACGTCACTTGCAGGATTTCGTTCTCAAGAGATGGAAAAATGACTTTCTTAAGTTAAAATGGCAAAAGATAAGCTGTGTTTTGATGTGCTATTTATATCCATAGGGTGAATATTATTGAGTTTGTACTGCTTATAAATTGGGGCGCTTTCATTTCCCCACCCTTTATAATAAAATACAAAAATTGCAGCAAACTCACAAACGAAGCGGTATATAGTTGTGCAATTGAATTGTTGAAGAGTACAATAAATTATTAATGTCCATAATCTAACGAATACTCTCAATCTATGGACCCAAGCGCTCTCTAGAACACAATTGCGTACTTTCAATGTTTTCAAGAATTTTTACACTGCTCTATGTATTTAGTTAAGAGGGGTGTGCTTAATACTCGCCATCCTCGATATAATGTAAAACTTTACAAGACTACAGGTTTTTTCGCAAGAGCAAGTTGATTGAAGTGAAATCAGAGGACGTTGATTGAGTATCACCTAATCTTATCACAAAAGATGCCTAACTTGGAAGTATCACACGCGAAAACCTCATCGGAGGTCATAGAGCCGAAGCTGGCCTATCATTTGCCCAACAGTGTATAAAGGAGGTCTTCAATGTGTATTTGGGCAAACCTGGTAGTATAGGTTTAAATTGAGGCGAATTAGTTATTCTACAAGCACCTTCTGGGATCATGTTGTATATAGTAACTTACCTTAAGTAAAATTTCGTGGGTCAACATTACACGAGTGGTTGAGTTTTTGTACGTGAAGAATTTATGTTTCTTAGTTCACAATTCTTTATTGAATCAGCTTCCACCAGATTAGTTG